CTAGCCTGACGGAATCTCCTGAATCCAATTACTGGGCCCTAGGAGCAAGTATCACGATCCCAGGAGCGAGAGTACCTTAGCATTCAGAGTAGGTGATGCCAAATCAAATGATACCGGATGTATTGTAGGACGTCAGCAAAGCTGTACCCTCCAAAAACAGTTAAATAGAGACCATGGCCGCAAAGACTTGAAACTTTCAAACCTACCATTCAATTATCGGAAATGATAAACCGTTTTAGCGACCAGAAAAGACCAAAATGCCTCCACAGGGGAGACCAGTGGCCTTCCAGAGCACCTTTCCAATTTCGAACGTTCATCGAGGTCAGTCGCCGGGGTCAAAGATAATGACAGCCCTAGCTAACGTCGGCTCAGGCAGACAACATCCAACTCAAAGAGTTGAGGGCATCATTACGAGCATACGTGCTGAAATGTCGAGAATGCAGCATGGACACAAACAGGCAATTCTGATGCTGCGAAACCACGAGAACATGCTGCGGGCTCTCGCAAATGAAAAAGCCAGTTTGGAGGAGCAAAATCGGTCTTTGTTTGAACATATCAAGATACTTCAGCAAGAAACTTGCGTCCTAGAGTTGAAGAACAACCAACTGAAGTCTCAACTGGCAAAGATGAGGCAGCAGTACCCGGAGCCGCCCGATGAAGAGCAACCTCAGAGGCCTACCTAGATCACACTGTGAGGTATTCAGTATAACCAGCAATATCGTTACTCGCGAGAAAGAAAGAAGGATTATGATGCCATGACCGGTCACCAGATCAGATATCGGAGGAGACAATTCTCAATTTTGTATGTTGGACACAAATATCATTTTGCTGCGGGATTGCGTGGAAAACCAACCGTGTAATAGTTCGCTAGAGCCCGCCAGAATGTGCCGGAAGAAACCACAACCATCTTATTACCTACGACCACAAATCCAAAGACATTGCTAGAAAAACAATGGATATAACACAACACTCAGGCGTCTCTATAAGAACAAGTGAACTTCCCGTAGGCCAACAGCCAAAAGAATGGCCCCAATCGGGTCAAAGTGGTATCAATGGATTGCTGATGCCTCTCTCCCTAACATGTACGCCATTTCAGTGGCCATAACTATAGCAATTTGCTTGATCTATTGGTTTACGCGAGATGTGTGGCGCTGGGCGTGGACAGGACGCCATGTGTTCTGCCGTCGCCGTTTCCGATCGAAAATACTAGTTCCTTGGAGACGGTTTGCCTTCATCCACCTGCCAAGATACATGCATTGGCTGGACATCTCCAACTACCGGCAAGCGCTAATCCTGGCCGTCATGATAGCGGGGAACATTGTTGGCCTCCGGCTTCGAGCTCATTCTTGGGCGGAAGCACAGAAAAGGGCTGGCTCTATGGCGGTCATCAACATTGTGCCCCTGTGCACCGGTATCAGCTTTGGTTTTTCCGCGGATCTACTCCACGTGGACCGCCAAATGCTCGCGTGGTTCCATCGCTGGGTAGGTCGCATTTGTGTGCTCCTCTCTCTGTTACACTGTTCGCTACTCGTTACTGTCACCAGAACGATGAACTTAGCAAACTCACGACACATTGTTCCAATAGCCGTAAGTCAAAGATATCCCATGGCTAAGTGTGCGTATTGTGCAGACTAACATCACATCCAATATAGGCCGGTTGTGCTCTCGTTCTCGTGATACCGGTAACTTGTGCGCCGGTCCAACGGCGACATCCGCAGTTTGCGATGAAATGTCACTACCTTCTTGCAGCAACGGCGATTGGCGCGCTGATATACCATCTCGTGGAGCAACAGACACTCTATCGGTGGTACCTGGTAGGCGCTATCTGCCTGTGGGTTTTCATTAGCGTTGTTGTCTGCATAATGGCCGCATGGGATCAGAAGCCCTGGAAATCTTCCCGAAATGAGGTAGTCATGAACTCTGTGAGCCATTTCCTTTGGCTTGACATAGAGCTACCCCTCAACCGAGCGATTCGCCCTGGCCAGTATGTGCAGCTTTGGATGCCACGAGCCGGCTTTCGCGCATTCTTTCAACTTCCTCGGTTTTATATTGCATTCTGGGAAGATGGACCAACTCAAAGAATAGTCCGTATGGTAGCAGAGTCTCGACCCGGGCTTGCACGAAAGCTGTACCACGAAGCACTGAGATCTCCAGCCAAGCAGTCGGCCATCATACTCGGACCCTACGGACACCCGCTGGATTTCTATCGGTTCGGTACCATCCTCTTCGTGGTAGAGGACATTGGGTTTTTCCGAGCGCTTTCATATATTGAGATGTTGGTGGAGGCCAGCCGCAAGCGTGAAGTGATGGTGCGAAAACTAGAGGTTCTCTGGAAGCGACAGGTTGGCAAAGATGGCATGTTTTTATCCCCGACAAGTACTTTGAAGTCTGAAAGCCACCTTTGCTGACTGAAGTTCTGACAGAAAATCCTCAATGGGTAAATAAATGGATGCAAGACCTTTTCAATCGCGACTGGAGATCGTTCAAGGTGAGCTTTTTGCTAGTGCAGCTCATCCTGGGCGCTGTGATCTGACCGTGCTTCAGATTTTGCGATTCAGCATCTACTGCCCGCGTACTCAGTCAAGCCCCCAGGAAAACCTTTCCTACGAGCATAACGCAATGCTTTGTTACTTTTTTGGCTCTATCAAGATCGAGGAAGAAGTTGCACGGCATCTCGATAACCGATGCGGAGCTATAGCTGTAGCGGGTGAGTGTCCCCAGTCCAACATCCTACCATCATCGCTCGTTGAAAAGGCGCAACATTGCGGCTACCATGCTAACAGCCCATACAGTATGTGCAGGTCCGTCAATAAGTGAGGCTGTGACGAAAGCTGTACAGCCACACGCTGGGAGAAATCTCCAGCTGATCGTTCTCGACCCCGATATGAGCCCTGCACCGGATGGTGACGAAGATTTTTCTGGCAGCGTCAAGTCTGCAGTAGACTGCCAAGCTCCAGCACACCAAGCCTCAGGGGCAGGGGAGGATAAGCTTATCCACCAAGTACGACGATTGCCAACGGACAGCCGAAAGCTACAGTATCCATTGCCCAAAGAAAACGATACGCAAACTGGAAAAGTCGAAATGAGCAACCACTCGAAGTGTGTGGAAAATAGATTGGCACAGGGGCACTGAAAGCCTACGATCACAGTCACCGAACTATGAACTTCTACCAGCGTCATTCTGCGCCCTAATAGCATAGGTTGGTTTCACCGCCTCAGTCAAATCCGCCGCGCGTCGAATCCGCTGTGCCTGCCTCTAGTGGAGGCCTCTTCGATTGACGCGGTCTCAGCACAATGGTTGAATTTTCAGCTCATTGGTAACTGTATCTTCCGCCGGCAGTTCATGTATCACAGGGAGGGCACCATGGAAAGCTGGGAGCCTGGCCTTGTTCGCCGCACAGCCGGTCCGCCTTCTCGAGCAGATCCCTTCTCCAGGGAACATTAATGGATCTCCTCGGTGCTTGACATGATAGAAAGACGATCGAGGGCCATGGCAAAGCTGGCAGCGAAGTGTGCCGATCTCGGGTAGGCTGGTGTGTGCATTTCGTCCTGTAGATTCAGCATACTCCACAGGAGGCACAGAGCTGCCTACTTTTCGGGAAGATTTTGAGGGATGAAAAGATCTTTTAGCTCTATTGCTCAGCACATTATTAGTATCTGAAACAAATAGATCATGAGCTCCTCATACCTTGCATCTATCCACAGTTTAGTGCCAATCAACCAATTCATATTCATGTGCGCCCAGAGATCGATTGAAGGCTTTCAGAAGTAAGTAAGCCTCAAATGGCACTGGTTATAAAGTATACGGGAGAATGTAGAGCGAGGTAGACATCATTGGCCCATGGAAGCATTTCCGCTTTACCTCAAGCGATATTATTGATCGCACGCGAATCATATTACATCCTTGGAACACAAAAATGCATGTATAGGTGGTTAAGCGTGAAGCTATATTTTGACCTGGAAGTGAACAATGTCTTTCCACAATATGCAAACGACACCGCTCGGCTTTGCTTGTTATCGGCCGGTTGGAAACCCGGTTGGACCGCAACTTTTTGAGGCTCACAAAGCGCCAGAACACGTAGGATAACTGATTATAATCTTCCATCAGCCAACCGAAATTCTGTACTATCGGTCCTCGGCTTCTTTGCCTGCGGAAAGAAGTTGGTATTATTATTTGCTCAAAGTCCCTGTTCACCGATCGACCGACCGACCGGTCATTGCCCTCACTGACGTCATTACCGCCCCGATATAAACCGGGCAGCCCCCTAACCTGGTCGTCCGCAGGTCCTCGTTTGCTAAGCATGCAAACCATGATACTAGCCGCAATGATCACTCTAGCTATAGCTACGGCTGTAGCGGCTGCGCCGAGACCTGGACTTGATGTTCAGCCTGCCATCAACGTAGTAAATAGAATATTCCTCCTCGCGGCTTCGCTGACGACTTTTAGATGCTTTTTGCTCCATTTCAACTAATTGCCTGGACACAGCTTAACTGCACCGGAGATTTTGGTGCCACCTAATTCAACGACTCGGTTCTGGCAGCACGAAATACCTCCAATGGCTACATTTCTCGCTGTTTTTAACTTAATCGCTCATTGACACAGCAGGAGCAGTTGGATATATCCGTCACGAGTAACTTCTGAATGGAACTACCGCATTTTATATCACGCCTCCGTTTACCTGTCACCGGTTGCGGAACAATCCAGGATTGCCTATGAAATAGATGAAAGAAGAGATAGGAAGGAATACAACACACAAACGAAGTCACCAAATCATAGGAACATCGACAGCTCAAATTTTCATTCCTGGATCAATCCAAACAGCGTCAAGAATGGCTTCCGCCGTCGTTGCACGAGTGCCATTAGTGATCTCGCCCTTTTGTGCCCGTTGGCCGGTTATAAAATCGTCCAGCTCACACGCCTCACCTTTGCAGCTCAAATGTTTGTTACAAGCATTCTTTCGCAGTATGTAATCCCCACCTTCTGTGTCTAGTCAGAATTATTACAAATTAGCGATTCCACAGTCCAACTTGCCGATGGTATCTCCACTATCGTACCATTCGTCCAGAAGTAAAGTGGACAGAACGGAGTCTCCAATGAGCGCCAGACGCTTGTTGCCTTGCAGCGGACGCGTATCAGCTGGATGCAAAGCCTCTTCTAACAATGGAATGGATTTGAAGTGGTAGTCAAGTCGGTCTTGGAGCTCCTCCATTTTCGTTGGATCTGTTGTCAAATATTCATCCGAATGAATGGTTTGAAGTTTGACCCAGAAATCCCACAGACCATATACCTTATGTATCTCAGTGTGGCAAAATCCATATTACGAGGTATCTAGTTGAGAGCTGGCATATGGGGCATGAAGTATTAATAAAAGGCATTTTCCGTTCACGGATGAATCGAACCTTGCTTAGGTTGGAGCAAAGATTAAGACCACCGAAAATACATGAGAGGCGAATACTGGAAACAGGAAGCCACTATATTGATTGGATCCGAATTGGCAAAGGCGAATGAACAGTTGCCACAGAAGCAAACACCCGGGGGAACAAAGGGCGAAACTAATTTCGATCCGCCCTTCACGGCGAGATAGAACACCAGCGGTGACGAAAGAGTTTCATTTAGAGACAAACGAAAAAGGCAAAAACCCGTTGGAAAGCCCTATAGCATCGCTGACAATCAAAGCTTGGGTCAAAGGCGAAGAATCCCGAGGCAAGCCTTCAGACACCATGCCTATAGTCACACTGAGAACTGGCGAGCTACGGAGTTAGAACGCTCAGAGTTCCCATTTCCCCAGTTTCCCACTATATTCTGCACAAAGACTTGTGGATCAAGAAATGGCATGGACAGACAAGGGTGAATGTGAGATAATGAAATCGAACTCCACATCGTAGAAGTGTCCGTGTCTTCTACCAGCGGACGTATAGCTAACTGAAACCGTGATTGTCCAGCGCTTGTTATATTTCCCACCGTAAGATGCTTCGAGAGGGTGTCACTTATTTGACAACGTATCCTTCGTAAGTTGCTTAGCATCGACTCAACCCGCGGAAGAAAGAACAGATACTCTTCGACGGCCTCTCCAGTTTCCACATTGAGCTTACTGAGCCGGAGTTCTATCCAGTTCAACGGCTCGAAAAGGAAAAACGCCGACACATAAAGGAAGATGTCATCGGCGCAGGTGTCTTGGGATAACGGATCCGGCCCCGTCCAGCCAAAGGCGCAGACGCTTCCATAGCTGGGATAGAAGACATATTCGATGGCTAGAGTCCCATTAGACCCGTGCTGAGCATACTCTGACCATCTGCTGAGCGGTTGATTTGGACAGAGAGTGCCGCAATTTTCTGCGAGGCAAGGTGGCGGTGTGGGCATGTTGGAAAATTCTCTCCAAATCGACTCAAGATCTAGATCTAGATCATAGTCTAAGGGACGATAATATCAGTGCCAAGACGATATATTGAGGATAACGCAACTAACCGATCTGATCAAGTTGTTCCATTCTTTTCAGTGCAGCGAGTACCACGCTCGCGACGAAGGCGTTTTTCTGAAGAATAAGAAAACTAGGGATATAGACAGATTTATGGGTTTCATATCGTTTATGTAGAACTCAGAAAGACGAGCGGCTTACTGTAACTTAAAGAAAGCTCAACAAGAAAGAAAGGAAACCACCCCCACCCCGCGCCCACCCAACCAGAGGTCAGCCCAATAGCTAGTTACGTAGTGGCGGTTTGTCCTTATTTACGTAGGAGCAAACGGTAACGATTTGGTTAAACCGTTGAAAATGTATTGGTGGTGAGGCGTCGGGAATGCCCGCCCCACTCACCAGCAGTTGAACAATCCCTACTGGTCATTGCGTGCCGGCCCGTAAGACCGGTCAGACCATGTTCTTTGTCCTGGTCAGACGGAGTTGTCTCACTTCATTCCTGCACTAACTCACTGTAGCTCACTTATCTGACGCGAGTTTCTGTCGCTATTCTGCAATGTTCCCAGCACACCCTGGTGTACAGACCCAAAGGCCTGACGACGATCCCACAGCAGCAGTTCTTGGTGATTGCAGCATTGTTGAAGCTTTTCGTTTTCCTCCATCAGCCATTTTTGCGAATTTTGCAGGTAGCGACGTTCATCTTCCAAGCGTATTTTGCCGGCTGACTTGATCGTGTAGCACTCCCACAGACACAGATACAGGTCCAGGAGTTCAACGGCAGAGGACGCCGAAGAATGGCAATTTTGCAGGATCTGTGTCATATCGCTTGTCAGAGAACAGAATTCACCTGTCGGTACTGTCTATATCTTGGTAAGTGCCGGCCATAGTGGGTCAAAGGAGAATCCAACCTTTGTCTCGTCCGGTGACGCTCGTTTTGAAGAATCTATTATCTGTTCGAAGCCCTCTAGCATACCGACTGAATTGTTAAACTGATCTGGAGTTTCGCGCTTTCTCTTATGGGCTCTTCCTGACTGAGAGGGAGAAGCAAGAGGGTTCATTGAGTCGTGCGGATTCCAAAAGCTGATCGTTATTTAGACGCAGAGAATTGGCTGTAAGAGAGAGTAAGGCCTACTCGGGTAAACAGTATCTTTATATCAATAGTCAAGAAGATCACAATACGATAGACTAGCTTCTAGGGTGATTCCATGATGGTCACGGAAAGGGCACCACGTAGCTGACTATCACGATAAACACGCCCGCAATGAAATGCCCTCATTCACCACCAGACTCAATAAGACCATGTCTTGCGAGGGTGAATAGTCTTGTACTGTCGTTCGATTACGACCAGCCATGCCCATATAAATGGGGCCCGGCAAGAAACCGCGGGTGCGCGCAGAAACCGGTTAGCACTTCGCCGAACCCGCTCAATTCCACGGGAGAAAAAGAGCCACAAAAAGTGGTAAATCAAAATGGTGGGAGGAGTTTCGGTTTGCGGATGCTTTGGTGAATTACGAGTTCTGTATCTGATGGGCACGCTTGGATACCGCAAGAGAGGTCTTACGACTTCATACATATTTGCCTAAAGTGGACTATTGTGGACTAAGATAAAGAGAAGCAAAAGATATATTTTTTAAGTATCAGCAGGAGTAAGGAAGATCATGACCATGCAACTGCTTCCTCTACCCAAATTCATCATGGGACGCGTTGCTTCGCGTAGGAGTCCGCCGCGAACCATAAGAAACAACTACAATGCAGACCTACAACTCGTACGGTGACTCCATCAGCCCGCCTCCTGGGCATGCGGACAGAAAACGAGCCCCATCCACCATAGAACCATCCCAAATGGAAGAGTCACTCATATCTGCTGAATGGAAGGGCAGCCGAGTCGTATCGTCGCATGCAGGGCCGGCGAGCCCCTTACCACCCGATGAGGGATAGACACGACGCATTAGAAACTGCTGATTCCGGTATCGATCACCGTGGGAGAAGTCCCCAAACGCGAGGACCTGCAGAGCAGGCAGTCCGTCGGGGCCGAATGCCCATTCAGCAAACGACACGAGCTCCTCGGCCTCTGCAATGGCCGCAGAAGACGCAAGAACTGCCTGCTGCGGGTCCATATATTCGAATTGTGACCTGGCAAAATACTCATCGAAAATAGGACCGTAGCTGTGGGTATCATTGGAAGCATTCTGGTTCACGGAACCCCAGCACGAACGTGGATGCCGCGAATACCTTTTACGCGTCTCACGTAGAAAGGTGGTGATTTCTCGTGGGATGTCTCGATGGATTCGCTCGAGGCCGCTGAAGCGTAGATGTAAAATCTGAAGCTTGGAATGCTTCGCCGTAGGTCGAAGGCACCGCCGCTGTTTCTATTAGTATGCACACGTCAACTGGACCGAGGAAAACTTACAGCCGCAGATGGACTAGCACACAGAGCTACAGCAGACACCTGGCCTAGGTCTACAATGGCAGACAAGTTTGTAATCCACGCCGGTGACACATCCCGGTCATCCTCAAATAAGCCATCAGCATCGATGGGAGCGAGTTGACGCTCATGGTAGACAAGGCTTTTCAACGTGGACTGGTGGTGTCCGATGGCGTCCTGGATGTGGGATTTTGATGCCGGGAAATTGGACAACCTCAGATGTAGATGCTGCAGCCCACGAAACGAACATAAGAACCGCACAACAGCAGAAAGGCTACGTCCTTCGCCTGGCTCGTGCAGCAGGTAATCGAAAGAAAATTCAAAATGCGTCAGTCGGAGCGGCTTTTGTGACCGAGACAGTAATTGCACGAGACGCAGCTGATTCGGGCAGTCGCGCAGCGTAAGCGCTTGCAGGGAACAGAATATCGCATGTTGCTCTGATAAGATATCTGGAGGCAGGGTCACCTTTGACAGTGACAGCGTGGACAGAGCGGGAGGAGCTGTCAGATCCCCGATCCCCGTATCCCCGTTCCTTGTGTCGCCGGTACCTATATTTCCGGCCTCGAGCTCCGATTGCTGAAGCCCAAGGCTCTCCCAGCACAGAGCACGGGCAAAAGCTGATGGAACGAAGCCGACGGACAGATGATCCAGGCGGCTCCAGTTCCGACGGATGCACTGTCGCAACAAATCAACCTCAGACGGATGCTGGAGTCCTTCCCACTCAAACGCCGTCAGACAGGATAGTCTAGACACTCCGTCCAAGCGGTGCAATGTTTCTGGACAGGTGCCGTCAGTGACGAGCGAGAGACGAGCGAGGCGCTGTTGGTACCGAGTGAGATAGCCTTCCTGGTTGAGAACCCCTACTGGAATACAAGTCCCTAGACGCCATCTATTGCTAGTCAATCACAGGTCTAGATAGATAGATACCGGCCTATACGAACTCAAACGTGCTCAGTCTATTCGGCTTCAGGTGGGTGAATATCAGCTGCAATTGATCCTTCACGTCATCTAGGAATTGCCGGTGTGCCGCCGCCTCGTCCGAGGCTCCCAGTGTAGCCGGGGACTCCGGCAGCCCCGCCGCACGAAAGATGTTGTAGTATGCACATCGGTTAAACCGAACAAGGTGGAATGGAGCCTTGATCTGTAGGTGCCGCGCGTGTTGGAGATAGTCCGCGGCCCGTGAAGGACCGAAACGGAGAAAGAAGGGCTCGACATTCAACACATTCAGCGCCCATTCACTTGCTGCACAGAATGAAATGGTACGGTATATCCGAGGAACCAAAACTGCATACAACCTGGACGAGGCTCGGCTGAGAACGCGTAGGGTGGTAGCTGATAACTGGTAGGCGGTCAATACCTGGACCAAAGCAAA